AAACAATACATTTAGTGATAAAAGCATATTTAATACATTTAGTGATGAAAGCATAAAATGATACCTGCTAATCCATGTATGTTTCTTTAAAAGCCAATTATGCATTTCACATAATCATATTTAGCAGGCATAGTAAAATTACATTGTATGAGACAGCTGGCATTTTCTATCCACAGCAACACCTGTAATACCTGCTGATCAATAAAGTCCTCTTATCATTTTATCAGAGCAGCTCACACCCTTTCTCTGAAACTCACATCCACCAACCGTCTGTGTCCAAAGCAGGAACTGAGAACGCCTAATTTGGCTGACATTGTGTACCAGAGAGTAATTTTGCCTAACCGGTATGTAAAATCATAACTGAAGTGCTGTGTGTGCGGCTGGCTGGCAGAGGGGAGATTGGGAGGGGAGGAGAGCAGCCAAAAACAATCAAAATATCCTGGTGTGACTTTCCATGAAGGGTGTGTGTGTGTGTGTGTGTGTGTGTACCCATGTCTGAGCATACACGCCTTTCTATGAAGTCACTATTTGGCACATTGCTCTGCTGCTCAAATGTGGTTCATTTGTATCAGTATATCATCATCATGGGCAAACAGTGCCCCCTTTGGTTGTACAAGGGAACAGTTACTTACAACGAGCCACTGAACAAATACAGGCAGCAAAACAAGTAAGGAGACAATGAAAGCAAAGAGAAGTGACACAGGTTGCAGTTTGAGTGGTAATGTACAACAGAACAAGACAAAAACTAAAAGGGAGAAAAGGGAGACATTTTCTCTTGAGATTGTTCAGATGGTCAGAATATTTTATATTTTTTACAACTGAACTGGTTGCTAATGTATCACCTCAACTTGCAAGCACCACCAGTACAAAAATATGAAGTGAAAAAATACTTGTGTCTGTATCTTATATAATATATTAATTTAAAAAACCTGTATGTACGTGCCAAGATGCTCTCCAGCTGGAGAATAAGGAGTGGTCCCTCTCATCTAAACAAGTCAATATTTTGAACCTACAACCTTTTTAACTTTACATTGAAAATGAATCAACTAGGCTCCTGTTATGTGAAAATCCACATGGTGTCTTACAGTATTACATTATATTGATTTCAGGTTAATGACAGTGTTAAACATCTGGCTTTATTTCATTTTTGAACATTAATGATCACATAAGCTCACATGTAGCCTTCAAGGACTGAAAGTTACAACTTTCAAAACTATGAATGAGAATACAGAGTTTTTCAGAAGGATGACCTCATCCTGATATCGCAGAGACGCATTCTTTCAGCAAAAAGCTCTTCCCATGAGCCAAGGCTGCCACCTAGAGGACAACACAAGAACTGCTACTACGTCTCACACCAGGTGATGTCATAGTTTAAGAAAGAAAGAAAGAGTTAGAGAGGGGGATGAAAGAGGGACAGGGGAGGGCAGGGGTGTGAAAGAGAGAAAACAGGCAGGAAAGATGAGGGAGGGAGGGAGGGAGAAGGTGATGTCATGTTTTCAGAGCAGTAGAAGCTCTGTCTTTGTCCAAACTCTTTCATTTAACTCTGCAGATCCACACTGCGGTTTAGAACGACAGACACTACACAGAGCTATCAGTCAGACGACTGCATAATTTCATCATTTTCAATTGTTTTTTAGAGAAGGACATAACAGTGTGACTCACAAATGATAATGTTCAACCTACTCAAAGTCCTCAAGTTCAGTTTAGCCAAAGACTAGACCCTACATCCTCGAGGAGCCCAATTCAGTCCTCGTCATTCCAGACTATTCTACTCTCTCCAATGCACTCCAAACTATTTCATGCCACTCAAGAAAACTTCATTGCGTTCCATACTATACCATTCAAAACAATCACCGCCTGGCCTGAGTGTAATCTCCCCTGATTCTGTCCATGACAGCCAATTTCTCCTTCCAACAATCCCACAATGAAAAACAATGAGTGAAGATACTCACAGCCAAAGGAGAGGGGTGAGATAGAAAGAAAAACAAAAACATGATCCAGGAGGATCCAAGAGACAAGGACGTAAACAAAGGGAAAATACATAGATAAACAGAAGAGGTAGACAAAAACCAAACTAATCCTTTGGCTTTAGCAGCGAGACACTGACCATAAAAGTACTTTGTTGAGAAGGGAGTGAGAGAAAGAAAAAAGAGAACAAGTATTCAAGAAGAAGTATTCTGAAGCTTCATTTGGACAGAGGACTGCTCTTTTGCTAAGCTGTTACCTAACAAAGGCAAGACAAACACAGACACAAAAACACAGGTTATCAATGAAACCTGTATGCTTGTGGAGGCTCTTTATTGAGAAGCCACAACGTAAACCTTTGTCAGCAGTTGTCATTGTCAAGTACGAATGTCCCATGAAATCATGAAACACGATCCCTCTTGCAAATACATGTAATAAATGATATGCAAAGGCAACCTGAAAGCAATTAAAAGAACTCAACTAGTACAACCACTGTGACCCATTTTCTTTTTACCCTTGTACCTGTTCTTCTGTTTGAGTGTTCAGTGTCTTTCTCACAGACATACACACACCAAGTAATACATGGCAAATGTACTGTACTTGTATAGCGCCTTCCTAGTCTCCCAACCACTCAAACCACTTTTTTGTTCTTTTTATTGTATAATGGTCTGGATTGTAAGACATTGGTGAGGAGTGGAAAATGTTATGAGCATAGAGCATACAACTATTTGTGAGTATTTCCTATACAGAGCTGAAACACTTCCTGAAACCAGGATCCCTGTGTGGTCACTTCAAGATGAAAAATGATAAATGTCCATAACAGCAAGTTTTAACCTTATTCCTTTAGAGTGCATTACATTACACTGTCTTGAAATGCGTCGATATCTGCTGACAACCAGAGAAGTGTGCTATGTGCTATAATCAGATT